CCCTCCTTGCCCCTGCACCCGCCACCCCGCCGGCCGGGCCGGCCGGCCGGCTCAACGGGTCACGTCCGGAGCCTTGGTCTCTAGTATTTGGTCCGAGGACGCGCGCCGTGCCGCGCTCGAAAAGTGATGCAAATCATAATCGCCCGCTCCAATTGAGCGCTGCCGCTGCCGAGACAGACGGCCTGTCACTTTCGTCCCGTCTATTATATTTTTCTTCATCTGTCCTCTAGAGATTTGTCTGGTATCCCAACCGTACCCCTCACGTCGATAAGACAGACGCCTTTCACACAGACAGACGCCACAGAGATGTGTAGACCGCAGAGCCAATCGTTGTCCGTCCCAGTCTCATCTCGTCTCATTGCCGTCTCATCCCGTCCACTTCATACGAGCTCCACCCGACAGAGAACAAGCTTCTCGGTGCCCCCCCCCCCCCTCGTACGCCTCCACGGCACGCCCCCGCTGGGAGGCGACACACACGATGAGCCCGTCGGCAGTGTGTGTGTGTGTGTGCCTGTACCACCACAGCGCCTGTCCTGGTCGGGCGGCTCAGAGCAGAGCGCCGCGCCCGGTAGGCACCACCAGAACACCCACGCTCACCCGGCGGCCCGCCCCGCCCGCCCCGCCCGCCCCGCCCGCCCCGCACCTCTGCTTCCAAACTTCGGGCTCTTCGGCCCTTCGGTCTTGGCAAACAGACTAAACATACATCACGGTCAATATTGGCGCAACCTAAACCAAACCCGTGAGCGTGAATGATCCACGTCGCTCCCGCCCCTGCGGCGCCAAGCCGCTGCCGTCCCGACGGGCGCTCCGCGGGCTCCGCGGGCTCCGCGTCGGGCTCGGGGAGGGGGAGCTCCTCTGCCCCGCCGTGCCGGCGCCGGCCCTCTGCGCCTCTACGCTCGCCTAGCGCCTCCACGGTATGGGGCTATCGGCATTTGAAATGCAAATCCTGTGGCGCCGCGAGTTTGAATCGAGGCGGGCGGGCGGGGCGTTGTTGGAGCGTTGTGGCCTGGGAGCTAGGAGCCTGGCGCGCCCACACCGTGTTTGAGAACAATCCGGTATACCTGTTGTAACTTCCGAGCAGATGTTCGATTGCAGGAAGACTCGTGTTGCATTACTGGACAAATGTTCCTTAGGACGGCTCAGGCCGACGTCAGTAGCAGGGCGGACAAAAATGGCATTCATAGTTTGAATATGATGTAATGTAAAGGCAGGTTTACAGCAGTATGTTTGAAGTGTTGCCTCGCAGTCCGCTGGGGGAGCGGGGCCGCGGCGGCGCGGGTGGGGGCGGCGGCCTTCCGTGGCGGGCAGGGCCAGGGTCGGGGCGTGGTGGGGCGACGGCCGGCACGGTCAGACGTACTCGTCGTGGAGTCGTCCTCGTAACGGCAAACGAACGGGTCGTATAACTCCGTCACGACATTTAGGCGGCGGCCTTGGTCGGGCCGGGCGCGACTTCTTCTTGTCCGTGTCTCTGCTTTGGCGTTGCCAAGAGGCGCGATATGGAGAAAAGTCGAGAGGATGGGCCGACCGTGAGACTACTAATTTGAAACAGTAAACTAGCCGAGAGGTGAATCCGGGTGCCGCCGCTGCCGCGTCGCCATGCGAGCTCCAGTGGGTATGGGTTATGAGTCCGTGGCCGTGGAGGCCCGCGACCTCGCCCGCGACCCCGCACCCAGTGCCCCACTGGCTCCCTCCCCCCACGGGATGCCTATTCGCAGCTCGTATTCCGTTATGGCCGCATGTCTGCGTGCCAATCAGGTTCAATTTGCGGTGCGGGCGTCGTGCGTCACACTGGCCGCCGGCCGCGCCCTCCCGCGCGCGCCAGCAGCGCCAGCAGCGCCAGCAGCGCCAGCCTTGTGCCGCCGCGATTCTTCTCGAAGGACGAGGACGCCGCCCTGACCTCCGCGTGCCCGCTGAGCTGCCGGTGCCCGGTGCATGCACGACGACATGCATACCCCCCCCCCCCCGCCTTAAATTCCTGGAATCTGATAATAAAAGACGTAGTGCACTTTTCCCCCTCGCATTCCGTTTTGTTTTTATTTGCGGGTGCGTCGTGTCGCGTACCCTGTCGTTGAGCGTGAGCGGCATTGTTTAGTCCCGCGGTGATAACCGGGCGCCACCGGGCGGCACTTTGCTGGGCGCCACTCCCTGCCACGCCCCGCCACGCCCGGACGCGCAACCACCTGAGCGACCGCCAAACCACCAACTGGCCCGGTGAATGCGACCCTCTTTTTGGCCATGTGGCATTAGCGGTGCAGTCGCAAGGGCCGATGTGCACCGAGCGCGGTGGCGCGGCGGCCGGCGGCGGCGGGGTCACTCATGGGCGGCCAATGTCCACAACTCGTGCGTCAATCCCCCCCCCCCCCCTCGCCTCCGGTTTAATCTCTATAGCAGCATCTCCTCCCCCGCCTTGCTCCCACTCTTTCTTTTTGTCTGGCTCCTTATTTTGCTCTCTTCTTTTTCAAATTATCATTTTTATTGGGTTACGCTTGTCTCTGTTTCGGGTCCCACACCCAGGGCGCCTCGCCTTGTGGCAATATTTCCAGTATTACCAACATCAAACCCAAACCACCGTACCCCCCACCTTCCCGTCCCCAAAGTCCTGCTATTCACACCCCGAGCTGGACACACACCTTGGCCCCGACCCCCGACGGCCACTACTCCACGCTAGTACTTGTCACTTCACGTCACATTTTCTTTCATTTCGCAACGCTCTATTGGACGGTCTGTTTACGCTTCGATCAATTAATAGCGAGGCGCCGGGAGATTGCCCCCCCCCCCTTCCTCCCCATACAAACCCCGCTGCACATCCGTTGTTGTGTGTGTTATTGTGTCGTGATTGATGGAGGGTACTAAACTGGTCGATTCTGTCCCGCCAACGCCGCGCCGCGCCACGCCCCCTCAAAAATTGATCTGATTATACCGGACGGCTGTCTGCCCGTATTAGACCCTCCCGTCCCATTCACTCAACCCTTCGCCCTCGTGGTGCGGCTAAGCCTGGCAGAGAGATGAGGAGTGAGGAGTACGCCAGGCAGGCGGCGCGGGGGGACGGGTCTGTGTTGTTGTCTGGCTGCATGCTGTGCCGCGCCACGCCCCCCAGCCGCTACGCGTCATGCCGCGAAATGGACCGTGGAGTGGAGTACTAATCAGTTCCGCTGTGACGGCGGGCCGGGCGGGGCGCGGCGGGGCGGGGCGCGACGCGGCGCGCAGACATACGCCCCCGCGCCACGCTGCGCCCGCCGCCATAGGCCGCACAGCGGCGCCCTATCGCACCCAAACGGCCTATTATCGCCCTCGAGAGCTACCGAAACTATCGCCTCCTTGAGACCATTGAGGCCCAAACGCCGATAACGCCGACGGATACGATGGAGTTTCCGCCTTTCGAGGATTTTGGAAATAAATAAAAATGCTGGTGGGGGACGACGCAGAGATCCTGGGGGGCTCGCTAAACAGGGTTGGCTGAAAAATTAGGCATAAACCGCCAGAGCACACCTGGGTTCAGCGTGTGGTATCTCCGCCTGCCTGCCTACTAGGCAGCTCCTATGCGCGGGTTTTCGTGGAGATTGCCTAGCCTAGTAGGCGGGCGGAGATATCCGCCTGTTATACAGGTGCTTCGGCGGCTTTTGCCTAGCTTTTCTGGCAACCCTGCTTGCTTGTTCTGCCTGGCGGCTCTGCGTCCAGCACAGGGGCAACAAACTCATTTGTTCCAGTCCTGCTTTCCGACGCTAGCTCCAGCGAGCGCCTCCAGCCCAGCGGGTGTTGCAGGGGCTCCTGTTCGCCTCACGGGTCCTCCCTAGAATCATTTTGTGCTAAAAGCGTCGAATCACGACGCTTGGCTACATCTATTTCTCCAGTTCCGTTAACGGGATGTGGGAGCTGTGAGGGTCCTCGCCCTCGCCTTGCGAAATGTGGAACTTCCCCGTCGCCATAGAGAAGGTGGTGGAAAAATTGTAACCCCCACTCGTTAGCGTGGAAAATTACTTAAGAAGATTTGTAAATATCTAACGAAGTCTCGTCGGCAAGCGCGCGGTTGGGGAGAGAGAGAGGAGGGGGGACTAGCAAGGAGGAGCGGGTGGCCTGAACCCTTATCGCTGCACCCGATCCTATAAAACTGACGCCGGCCCCGCGCCTCCGATCATTTGTACTTTTCTCCATCGCCCCTCCTCCAGTCCGTTTCGCGTCGCGGCTCAAAGATTATTTTTTAAAAAAAGAAAGAACAGGAACTAGTGCGGCCCCTTGGTGTGTAGTCGTGTTTTAAGTGTGAGGGAGATCTGAACTCGCAAGATGCCATTTTTACAAAGAGCGGTGAGTGTCCGGCTCTCCAAACTTGAAAGATGTGTGGTGAGGATGGTGGAGTTTTCCCCAAAAGTGTGTCACTGGTCCTAGACCTAGACTGAATGCATGAATTATGAGGAGAATTAGAGATTAATTTTAATAACACAGTGTTTTATTAGTGAAATGGAAATAAGTAACATTGATGACAGGTAAAATGCCAAAAAATCAACACTATGTCTATTTTGAAAATTAGAAATTAAACATAAAACAAACGAATTGATGATGTAGATAGAAGGATGTCATCAGCAAAAAATTTAGTTTCAATGACAACGTTGCCACTAAAATGAGAGAGAAATAAAAACAGTAATCATAGTAAACGTAGTAATTTGGGGGATTTGCTAAATAAAATCGTTGCATACTTACTTTAATACTGATGCAGGCATTAGTTGAGACTCAGGAGCCCCTTCAATATTTGAATGCCAAGTATTAGTTGAGTTGGGCATAACTAATCCATACTCAAAATACCATTCCTCTAAAATATTTTTCTGTCAAAAATGATAATAATTGTGAGAAATTAGCTCAATGTTTACTGGAGAGTTGTACCATAAGACGTCTCAAATCGTTACCTTGAACAGAAGCCTCTGCTCCAAGCGAAACTTATTAATAGGCTCTGCTGATGAAAAATTAATTTCTCTTCGCACTACACGGCTTTGTAAAATTTCCTTTGGCACTTTAGCTTCATGCTCAGCTTCTGGATCCGAACTGTGAACATATCAATATCCTTCAGAGAGCTTAAAGCAAAGTCAGTAAAATTTTCTATTAGAATTATATTAGAATTTTACTTACAAATCCCCTTTCCCGTGCCAGAGTACTTTTTCACTATCTACATCAATGAGTTTCACCCAATTGCTGTTGGACTGTCAAGGAACGAAATAGTGTAGAAAGAAAAATAAGAGTTAAACGGCAATGACGTACAGTAAGGATACACTTGAAAGCCATTCAGTATTTCTTCTCCTTTCCCCATCTTGAAGATTGGCTTAGATCATTTCTTTCTGACAATATAACTATTTCCAAAAATATTGTTTACGAATTAGATTCCCCACAAAAACACCGCAAGTTAGGTTAGTTTACTGCCGACGTTCTTCTGTTGTCTGCTTGTCAATCACCGCCTTCTAGAGCCCCGTTTACTCACCGTTTACTGATGAGAAAGAGTGGGAGATTTGAAATGTTGCGGATCAAGGAACTTTTTTACTTGCGCAGAAAAGTATTAAGAAAATCTTGTTTGTTTCTCTGTTGCAGGGTTTCAATGGCCGTTTAGCCTTTGCTATTGCAGCGGCAGCGTTGGGTTCATCATTCCAACATGGTTACAACACAGGAGTGGTCAATGCACCTCAAAAGGTACAATTTAAGTTTTACATTTGTTTTAAATTATGGTATAATTTATTTTTTTAGGTAAAAAAATTGCAACATATGCTGTAAAAATATTAATGATATAATGTTACTAATTATAGTTTTTTTCCCCTTCTCAGCTTATTGAGGACTGGATTACAAGTGTGGAAGCTAATAGAACAGGAGACCCAAATGTGAACCAAGGAAAGGTGACGATGATTTGGTCCATAGCTGTATCAATATTTTGTGTGGGTGGTATGATTGGTGGCTCCATCACTGGTTTAGTGGCTGATCGCTTTGGTCGAAAGGGTGGTCTTCTTCTTAATAATGTATTTGTTATTCTATCAGCCATCCTTCAAGGTATAGTACCTAATTTTCAGTTGCTGTTCTTTTTTAATATACTATTGTTAGTAATGAATTGTCCATATCACCATTAATATTATGTTAAATTTTCAGGAGCTTCAAAATCTGCTGGCTCTTATGAAATGATTATTCTTGGAAGATTTCTTATAGGCATCAATTCAGGCCTAAATGCTGGTTTGGCACCAATGTATTTAGCCGAGATATCACCCATCCACCTTCGTGGAGCAGTAAGTACAGGCCAGAGTTCTGTCAATTGTGTTGACGGCACCTCCTGATACTACAAATGAAATTTTTGAAATTTTGTTTGAACCTTACAGGTTGGAACAGTGTATCAGCTGGTCATTACTATTTCAATTCTTGTATCCCAAATTCTTGGTTTGGGATCTCTTTTGGGAACTGAAGACAAATGGCCGGTTCTACTTGCTATCACTGTTGTTCCTGGAATTTTCCAACTGGTCACCCTTCCACTATGCCCAGAGTCCCCCAAATATCTACTGCTTGGGCGTGGTCAGGAAGCTGAAGCTAATTCCGGTAAATATTTACAAAACAGTATTACTGTGACAACTTTTTAGGTGCAGAAAAATGAATAATAACAGAAAAATGGTAGAAGCATACATGGTTGTAATTTTTATGTGACTGTAATATACTTTCTTTTTAAATTTTCATAGCTCTGCAGTGGCTTCGTGGAACAATTGAGGTTCATGATGAGATGGATGAGATGACAAATGAATATGAATCAATGAAACGTTTACCTAAAGTCACAATGAAAGAAATGTTTACCAATCAGCTTCTTCGTGTTCCCCTCTTCATTGCCATGATGGTTATGATTTGTCAGCAGCTCTCTGGTATTAATGCTGTAAGTATGATCAAATCAAAGAAGTGGTTATGATGGCTTTGGCTATTTTAATATAGAAATAACTTCAAATGTGTTTTATCTATTTCTTTTTTTTTTTTAACAGGTGATGTTCTTCTCTACTAAAATTTTCAAGTTGGCTAACTTGAATGATGAAGAAGCCCAGTACGCAACGTTGGGAATGGGTGCAATGAATGTTTTCATGACTTTGGTTTCACTGGTTTTGGTTGAACGTGCTGGACGCAAAACTTTACTTCTCATTGGTTTTTCTGGAATGTGCATTGATACAGCTCTTCTGACAATTGCTCTTGCCTATGTGGTAAGTATCAATTATTTTACATGCTGTTTCCTAAAATTTCATAGTCTGATACTGTTCTTGAAGTTTTCTTCTATGCTTTCATATGCTTTTAACACGTTTAGTGCGGCAGCACATTCTGGGGTTGATAAATCCCTCGAATACTGTAAAACGTACTGAATGTGAAAAATTTTGTACTTATTAATTGTGTGCTATATTTGTTACAGAACTCTGCGGCATGGGTTTCTCATATCAGTATTGTTCTGGTCATTGTGTTCGTCATTATGTTTGCTGTTGGACCTGGATCCATCCCATGGTTCTTAGTGTCTGAGCTTTTTAATCAGTCGGCAAGACCAGCCGCTACATCTCTTGCTGTTGGAGTAAACTGGACTGCCAACTTCATTGTTGGTCTGGGTTTCCTTCCTCTTCAGGTAAAATACTCTACAATAATTATTTTGTGTTCACTAAGGAGTGTGTAAAAATCCTTCAAATTAATCCACCTGTGTTCATGTTTGACAAAACAGGAAGCAATGGGAGGCTACGTTTTCATTATCTTCACTGTTCTTCTGGCACTGTTTGTCGCCTTTGTTTACTACAAAGTACCTGAGACAAAGAACAAGACAATGGAAGAAATTTCTGCAATGTTCCGTCAGCGCTCCTATCAGTGAACATGATCATCATCCTGGATCTAATTCTTGTTTTAGTGCAAAATTTGAGCCTATTTCTATTTTCCTTACAAGGCAAGACAGATTTCTAGTCTTTTGTGTTGAAAGTATTACAAGGCTCCGTGCAGGTATTTTAACTTCCATAATTATGACCTCAAACCTGTTGTGATATAAAAAAAGGAGGAAGTAATCTGCTAAGGAAAGTCATGCAGTCCCCATCAAACAGTTCACTAAGATGTTTAACTATTCAGAAGACTGATGGGTACAAGCATAGCGTGATAGTATATGTATCATTGTAGACTTGCATTACTTAGACTCTCAGTAATTTCATGACATATTTTTAAGGCTGTGGTGTCCACTATCTGTAAGACAATTCAAACATTTGAAGCAGGTATTGACTTTATCAATCCCCTCTTCTCATAATTGGACAAGTGGTTTCATTTTACAGCCTATCCTTGTGCTTAGCAAATGTTCTCAGCTTATCTGTGTGTAAATGGGCACTGCTTCCTCTGTGGATGTGAATCATTCTGTTTAAATGAAACATTGTGACCCTGAGGGCATTTTAACACCAGTGTGTCAGAAAGAATGGTATGCAACTAATAATAATTTTGTATGGATGTTGGTGTATGAAGTGAGACTGAATTCTTGATTGACAAATTAAATATTTTTGTTTATATGTGTGCTTTGGTATGTACCATGTCTTAATGTGACATAAGCATCCATATTTAAGTGAAAGATGTATTATTTAGATAACAATAATTATTATTGATTGTCCATTGTCATGTCAGGCCATTCTAGTTTTATTTTTACTCCATGCCAAATAGTTGTTTTAATTGCTGAATTATGTTAAAGAGATTTGCAAGAGTATTTCTCTACATGATTCAATATCTGTTTGTTTTAATCTTAAAGTGTGCATTGTTTTAATTTTTCATCATCCATCATTCATCTATTATTATATGTACATAATCATCTAGTTGTATAATATTGATTTTTAGAGTTAGACCACTACTAGCTATGAAATATATCTAGTATCAAAGTGAGATTCCTATTACCAATGTACTTTATGTTATATTGAGGTAGAAGAGAAGAGTTCTTGCCTTTTAGTATATCAAGTTAAACAGAGAGTCCATATGGCATTCTTGCTTTACAAACAATAAAATTTTGCTGGTTGAATAGAAACTACTCACCATGCAAAGAGAAAGCAATAAAACTTAATTTAGACCTACAGCTTGAAACATTAATATTTGTCAATGTATTGCTTAGAGCTCTTGACACAAAATTTGAAAAAAAGAGATTGTAATGTTTTTGAGCAAGCTAACTGTTATTAGATTTATTCCCTTTTCTGTTTCCTAACTTCATTTCAGTTTATTGGTAACTTCTCATGCCATATTGTGTTCAATCAGTGTGAATTCAATTAGTCTGTTTATCTTACGAGAAGAAGGGTCATACAATACAATACATTCAATTCACTTGTGGAGAGATTTATTTTTTTATACATTGCAGGAAAACTAAATAATAAAGGACTGAAGGACATCGGTTCAGAAGAAGCCACAAACGAATGAAAATATTGAACCATTGTTTCCTGTTGACCATGAAATACCCGGTAATACCACATCATTTTGTGCCAAGCATATAGAGACTGTGCGCTCTCTTGAACCAATTGTCCTTATTTAAGAGTCCTGTATTTATTTCTGATGCACACATGGCCTGTGTCACTATTGTGAACAATTTGTGTTCTTGTGTTTTTAATTTAAAGTTCTTAACACTTGTCTTTTGGAGCATTGTTGACATTGATTGAGTGCAATTAAGTGAATAGAATATTTCCTTCCTCCTACATTATGAAGTTAATTCTCTGAAAATGTTAAGAGAAAATGTAGTTAACTTCCAGTTGAGTTTATTGATACCGTAATTTTGATATTTTATCATAATTTGTTTTATACCAGAAATCTTGCAATTGTTTTGCTCTAGTTCTGAAGGAGATGCATAGGAAGGTTGCTTTGTTTTGTTCGTCAATACAAAGCTACTGATGGATGTTATGTTTTGTTTTGTCTTGTTTGCACTGGTGAAGGGGGAAAACATATTTTTGATGATTTTTATTTTTAGATTGGCCCTTATGTTTGTAATATGATTGCAGGTAAAGCCAATATAAAAGTATTTTAATACCATTCAGGAATGTATGTTCGCTTTATAAATCCATGTACTTTACCAGTGCATGCTTAACACTAATTGCTCTACCTCAATTGAGGAATTGTTGTCCGACTCTATATGAGGAAATGTAACTATTTTGTACATTGGTGTAAATTGAAATATCACTAGCTGTCAATGTGTCTAATTTATGCTTCTTTGTTGAAATGCGACAAGTTGTCGAAAAGACGAGGACGTTCATTTGGCTTTTGTTGGATGACGTGCCATTTGATGTGCCGTTGTGGACTGTTACTGTAGGCGTGTACAGTGTTGTTACAAGCATATGAAAGTAACATTGTGCATACAATTATATAGTAAAGAAATGAGTATACTGGCTTCTTACTTGAATTTTTCTCACCCACCTGACCACGCGACACTTTACTCGACGCGAATGATGTCTCCTCTTCACCATCGGTCCCACCGCCTCGCCGACCATCGTATAGGCAACCCATCCCACAGCAAAGTCCGATTGGTCGTCTGCAAACGGCATGCACCTGGCGTGCACTAGCGCGGGGAACTCCCGTCCCGCGTCTGTCCGTGGAGCCGAGAGGCGAATAAGCAGCCGATGGGAGGAGGACAGGCCTGCATGCCGGACACGGACAGCCTTGAACTTGGACAGGGCGGGTAAATAAGAGAGAGAGGTCGACAACCGGCCAGAGCGTGATGCGGCTCGGCTGCATTGAGGCTGAATATTCATGCGAGTGATGCGAGCCGCCGCCGCCGCGTCCAGCTCTTGCAGCAGCGCATCGGGGAGCACGCGGAGCAGTGCATCATAGATGGATGGGAAGGCGGAAAGGAAGAGCAATTAACACTGCTTGCCGTGAGGTGGCGGGTGGGGCACAATTCATTGCGACAGGGATGATGTGAGTGAGGGTGGGGCCGGGCGCTTCAACGAAAAGACAAAGAAGTCTCCACTAGGTGCTGGTGTCGTGGCCAGGACTCTGGGGTTGCCCAGCTCTACCCGATCTCCGCTCAAAAATGTGATGGTAGAAGGGCAGCCTCGTAGGGACACAGTTGCTTGCTGACGGGGCGTCTGTTTATTTGAAAGTGAATCCGTCCACCGAAGCCTGCGGTGTTTAGCAGGGCACGGCTGGTCGGGCCGAGCCGGGACGCGACGACGGGATGGAGCGACCGGTTTCCTGAGGCTCCTAAGCGCCCGGCCCGTCGCGGTTGTGGACCCAACTCCCGCGCCGCCCACCCGCCCCGCCTCGCACCGGCCACTGAACCACTTCCCTCTGCTTGCTTCCGCGACGCAGCCGCCACCGCGTGGCCGCGGACGTGCGGCGGACATGGGACCGCGAGGCCAAAATCGGCGCCCTC